CCTATCCCCCCTTACCCTACGACTGCGATCACGCTGAGGTCATTCTCAACGACAGACACTACTATTTGCAAATTTAACTCTACTACCCATACCGTCTAATTGTGCCTAGGAATCCTGTCCGAAATCCTCGACCACAGTTAAGCTTACCAGTTAGAATAGTTGGTTAAATGACGAGGCGGTGATTACTGTAATACGAGAATGATGATAATGGGGGTTTTATGGGTGAGACCAACGAACGGGTTATAAAGCTGCTTTCGGGTAGCAATAAAAAACACATTTACCCCCTTAGCTTGTTTAAAAACACCAATAAAGCTTAAAGCACGTAATTAAAAATGCTATAAAGTAGGAGCTATAAACGGACGAAGACTGAAATCAAAGGGCAGCGTCTTAATACTCCAGGCGCACTAATTCCAGTCACTGGTGACCAATTACATCAAAGACGAAAGTGTGAAAGAGATATTCTTAAATGTAGCCCTAATTTTTGCCGCGACTGAAGATATAATTGAAATTGAGAACGTTGGAGCGTAAACTTTTATCCTAAATACCTGCCTAAAGCCGGACGCTAACCCCAATGTTAACAGGTAAACGCAAAGTAACGGGGGATGAAAAACGCGAAGAGTATCAACTTAATCCCTCTCCATGAATAACATAAGTAGGTATTTATTAGACGTTGAGACTACGCTGGGCTACATATCCGTTCGTCACCGGTGAAGCTACTAATGACAGAAGCTCAAGAAAACGAATATAAGCAATCTACTTAAAACGCGACAAGATGTTTCATATTTCAAGACAGTTGCGGAGCCGGCTGGACACATTGCTGGGAGGGGACAATAGCTCAAAACCATCGCTCGCAGTTGAATGATGAAAATAAAAGGCACTTAAACATTAACGAGCAATTTACAGCAGTGTACAGTATCGCGAGTATTTGCTATCCTTGTAATTATGCAAGTTAGAAGTTGCGAACAAAAAATCTTTGTACGCATGGTCACAAAGCAGCTGGGGGACAGCAAACCCGGCTATTCAAAACTCTTGCGTACACCCTTAGCACAAATCAAGCGTTCGAGCTCGCAGTCGTGGGAGTTATCACTTAGGCTAGGAATAAGACAAGTCGCGAACTGAATAAAGCCCGGAACTTCAACAAAAAGTAAACTAACCGGCACATCGAGCTCCTTGCTTCATGCGCGGCTCGGCGCAGTTGAATTCAGAATTTCAAATGGGTCGCCAGTCGATTATGATTTCGTATAAATACGGCTTGTTAGACGTTACCCTCATATCTCTCAATGGAACCCCACAAGAAATCAAAAACAAGTGGATTCGACGGTTGAGTAGTCTCCTACGTCCTTATCGCAACTATAAAACTTCTTAAAACCAGGAAGAATGCAGTCGCCGGGAGCCTATGCCAATTACGGCAAGGGCCGTGCAGACATGTGCCTAATACGCGTAATTCCCATAAACGCCACGCCCAGAAATGTACTTTCCCGGCTTCGACTACGACCTTGAATAACTGTCCTAGAGGGTGGCATTAGCGCTGAACAGTCGCCCTACTCAAAGTCATGGGCGCCGTGTGCAGTCATTCTCTCGAGATCTTGGGTGGTCGTCATTGTATAAACGTTGACGGTGTATAGAGAAGGGCAAAACAATTCGCTTGCTCCCAGTGTGGTTATAGTATCGATTACTACGCGACTACGATATTGCAGACATGCCAGGATGCCGGCTATGAAAAAAATAAGTTTCGACCGTACGCGACAGCAACGCCCTGTTAAAAATAACCACTTAAGCAATAGGAAATTTCTATTTTTAGCCTTCAGATCCTCATAAGGCCAAATATCTTTTACAGAAAACAGGCTAAAATGTAAATTTGTGAGCCTATTGAGTAGCGAATAACGTCTTATTTAGATGTTTTACCCAAGGAAGGGATATATTGAGGTTTAGAAACAATTTTCTTATTCCCGAATATTATTGCGCCTGGTCTTCCTTCGTGATTAGCGTTTTTAATCTACTAGCAGCATGCTTTCCGTTTAGGGAAAAAACACATATTCGGCCAAACCAATAAGAGGAAACCATATAGTACTCATAAAAGGTTTGCAGTGGATGTAAATTTGCATACTCTGCGAGGGTCAGTAATAGACTAAGGGATACGAGGATATTTGAATTGATATCATACGACCGTAACCACATGAATGAAAGTATTTTTAAAACCGAAAGTCAGTCTTTCATCGAGGATAACACTCGAAGAAGTAGTTATAAATCATCAAGTGAGTACAAGACCGCGATTTATGAAAATATAGTTGAATTGATAAGGGCATCAAAAAAAAACAGAAAAAAAGAATAGTAATAAAGCAGTTATTATTTGCCAGATGTGGTTTTGACAGGCCACCGAAAAAGTGCATTCCAAAGACGGCATCTTGGCGCGTCTCAAATATCATGGTACTATGCCGCATGATGGCCGATATAATAGCCTCCCTTTAGTAATCCTTTTGTAATTGAAAACATAGTTCCGAATTTCGGTCACTGGTGGGGATGGCGTTGTCAACAGAGATGTTCGTTTGTTGATGATAAACACATAAAACGTGACTACCATGGATAATGAAGCTGAAAATTCTGCTCAGCGTCTGCTCATTGTTGCTAACCAAGACAGCACGAGACAGCCTCTGTCAGGTCGTACTGAAGAGCTGATGCACCAAGAATACAAATTTAGATTTTACGCGAACCGATGGTTATTATCAGGGAAGGATCGATAAGCCAACGATACAGAGCCGAACAGTTTGATGTGCAAGATAAGGCTCTATCTGTTTTGTCGCGAGGACTAAACCGATTTTGACAGCCTCATTAAACACTGCACCATCAGTTCGAAACATTTAACCTTCAGGCCCGACGCATACAAACAAACATACAAGCAGCCGCGTAATGTCGGCTTTCAGTTCGGAGACGTGGAAGTTGTCAGCGCTGATTTCATACTTTCATACGTCACCAGTGACACACTCCTGCGACCTTGACCCAGCTGAAAATGCACGCCACGCCCGAGTGAACGCGTGCGCTGACAAAAACGGCAGTGCGTTTCTGTCATTGCTCTTGTAAGTAAATGGCGCCGAAACAGGCAGTCTATAATGCACATGCTGGAGAAGGAGGTGTCCAGACTGTAGGGTGCAACCGTCGTGCGCCTGGTTCGTTTCAGGGGCCAATAAAACGCGACGACGATGATTGTGAACAATTGCAGTAGTCGCCGGTTATTAAGCCCACCTCGGGCCCAGACCAAATTGGGCTTAATAAACGGCTGGGCCTATTAACCGTGGGCTTAATAACCGGCGACTACTGTAGTTCCTCATTGAAAGCAAAATAAAAACAGTAAACTCTCATGGCGAATTAAACTTCGAGACTCAAAATGGGACTAGTTGGCGGGAAATTGGTTGGTTCGTTACAGGTAGACGCTAAGGGTTCCTACTAATGTAGCCTTGATAACAACACCGACTTGTATGGCCACCTAAACAGGACACTGGAACGAGACCCGCCCTCCAATAAATGTGGCTTCGCATCAAATTTCGGGGCAATCAGCGTTAGGATTAGGGCTAGGGGTTAGATTTACTGTAAGGGTTAAGGTTTAGGTTTAGAGTAAAACTAGGGCTAAGATCGGGGCGGCAGTTTAATTTTAGGTTAGGATTAAGACACGGGAATATTCAACCTTCCGAAAATTGATCGCGAGTGTGCGGCACGTTCCCATGCCTGTGTCCTGCTTAGGTGGCCACACAAGTCATCTCGACCAGATCACCTCCGAAGATGACAAGTGGAGCTCTACACTTGGACACGAAGATCACAATCGCAAATTGAACTAAAATGTCTGGTCACAGTCACTGGGCCCGTGAGAATATCTTGGACCCGAAAATGGTGGCAACGAGAGAGAGAATCTGAAGCCGATACAGACCCGGACGTGTGCACCAATTCACACCCATATTTTGCAGTGAAAGCTGGTGATCTTCATGGGTAGAGACGGACAAGCTGTTGCATGCATGACAGGTCTAGGTGTGTAGGCTCGAAGGGAAGAGGTTTAGCTTACCAGTTCTACAACACCACAGTCAGGACTGATAGGCAGGACCTTGAAATGGACCATTCGAAAGTCCAGACCGGCAGACAGCCAGATGGAGTCTGCAACTTCCATGAGATGGCAGATGAGGGCATCCATACGAAGGTCATCTCCTACCTGATATGGAAAAAAAAGAATTAAAGGTTTAGAATTCGGAGTTGCACAACCAGCCTTACATATAAATGGAGGATGAGGTCACTGAGTTTTTCACAACAGGGTCAAGTGAATTATTGAAAGCTGCCAAATCCTCCATTAATCGATTCCGCCTGGTAGCCATCCGACGGATCCTAGATTGATTACTAAGAAAATCCTGCTTGAGCAGTCAGTTTACTATAGAAGAATTGGTAGAGTCTATACGTTGCAGTAGGCTGAGCGGGTAAATCGATCCAAGTGTGATTGAACTGCCAATAGAAGTGAATATGCGAGTTCCAGGGAGCAGTTCAGAAGAAGAAGATGCGACCATTGGAACAAGGGTTATATTTTCCTGACGTTTCGGATTCCGTCGAGAGT